GGGGGGAGGTGGATGATCTAGGGGTAAGAGAGTGAAGTGAGTTGGGCGGTCTATGGCTCGTCGGGTTCTGCAGAATTCGTCAAGGGCTGTTTGGGAGTGTAGGGGGCAAATGTTGGCATTTATCAATGGGGGTACTGCGGGGGTACCTGCCACGTGGCGGACGTACATTTCACCTAAAATGTTGCACTCGTTGCCACGTCAGACAAGTCGTGGAGCTTCGATAATTTCAGGTAAGTTTTTTTTTTAAAATTTAATTAATGAATTAATTAGGTTATTTAAGGGTAAAAGCTTATTTAGTCCGGAATGTATCTGTTTTTTTTCTTTTTTCCACCTCTATCCTGGCAGCAATTTTGAAGGATTTTTTTTTGAGTTTTTTTATTGTTTTATTATTTTATAATGTGGAAAATAAATCTGAACACTTTATAGAGAATATACCCTAAAGTAAATCAGCATCATGCTTTCAAAAAAAAAAGCAAAAAAAAAGCGAGCATGAAGGATTTATTATTGCCAGCGGAAAAGAAAAAACTAGAAAAAAAGAAAAAGAAAAAGGAAAAAAAAAGGAAAATAAAAAGGAAAATAAAAAAGAAAAAAGAAAAGGAAAAAGAAAAGAAAAATTGATTGAATTGACCAGTTGAATTCATCGGAATTATGATAAGATGTTTCCTGGCGCATTTATCAGCCGGAAAATAATAATAAAAAAAAGAAATAGAATCCCAACAATATTTTGTGCTTTTGGAGTAGATTACCGAATTATACCCTGCTCAACGTCAAGCAAGAAGGGAAAAAAAAAAACACACTGCGACGAGCAATGTCAAAAAACATCGAAGAATAGAAAAATGAATTTGTAAAATATAGAAAAAGATATGATGCCCGCGTGTCCCCTTCAAAAAAAAAAACCGAAAAAAAAAAACAAAGAACAAACAAACGAAAAGAAAAAGCCTCACCGATATTGGAAATTGCCCTCATATCGGAACGGAAAATGGACCACTGAAATGTCCTCTTTTTTTTTTTTTTGGGACGGTATCAAATCTGACCTAAATGTGACCAAAATTATCGAAAAACGGCGGAAGGCGCTTTCTTTTTTTTTTTCCTTCCGTTTTTGTGGATCACCCGTGTGCAAGGATGACATTCATAGATTGAGAAATTTCGGAATATACATGTTATAAATATAAATATAATTTATAAATATAAATATATTTATGAAACCGAATATCCGTGCTCAGACATTCGTACACAAATTATATGATAGAAATATAAATATATATGTTTATAATTTGTGTATGTATGTCTGAATACGGATATTCCGTTTGACGATATAGATATTTATATCTAAGGGCGGCCTTGTACGCAAGAGGTTTTGAACAGGGGGAGTTCAAGGACGAAGATAAAAAATGATTTCACTTTTCTGTTTTTTTTTTTAATATTTTTTTTCGCTTTTGCGCTCTGATATTCTGTGACAATATATTTATAAATTATATATATCTTCCTGACTGTAGTGGTAGGTAGGTAGTGTGAGGTGAAATTCAGAGAAGAATATAGGTTAAAAAAAAAAAAAAAAAAAGAATCAAGCAGGTCAGGAGCAGCAGTAATTCTAGGACAGATAAAGCTTTCGACACTTCCAACAGGTACGGAGTTGAAGAAAGAAGAAAGAAAAAATTGAAAAACGAAGAGAAAAAAAGGAGAAAAAAAGAAGAAAAGAAAAAAAGAAGAGAAAAAAAAAGAAAAAAAGAAAAAAAGAACAGATTGCTGAAGAAAAGAAAGAAAGAACAAATTGCTGAAGAAAAGAAAAAAAGAAAACAAGAAAAAAGAAAAAAAGAAAAAAACAGGAAAAAGACAAAAAAGATGTTGAACTTTCTTGCGACAGTGGCAATTGGTTTATCTGTGGGATGTGTCATTTGCTTTGTTTGACTGACTGATAGGCCTTCCTCTTCCCCTTCCTTTTCCTTTTCCCTTGTCCTTTCTTTCTTTGACAAAGGGATCCCTTTCTCTTTCTCTTGCCTCTGTGAGGTCTGGTTTCCTCCCCTCCTTTTCTTTACCTCTTTTTTGCCTTTTGGCTGCGTGCAAGTGCCGTCCTTGTGACACGCACGGGGATGGATGGGGGCCAGCCAGCGCTCCACCTGTGTCATCCACATGGCTGGCCTTGCACGTAAGAGGTGATGAACAGGCGGAGCTTTCCTTTCTTT